CACAGCTCGACGTATTCGGGAATCACCATACATCCTGTAGGCCCATCACTTCCATTTTCTTGGTGGTCGCAAGGAATATCTATATGTAAGGTCAATCAGTCCAATCAGTCAGCGATATCCTCATAATCAAAAGACCTTGACCCACCTCAAGTTCGACATTGATCCTTTGTACCTGATTCCATTCAGCAGTGGACATCTCAAGCTGGTGGAAGTAACCGTATGGCTTCCCGTTCTTCCGAGGTTGGCGACCAACAGCAAGAACCCGATCATTGTCCTCTTTGCACATTTGATCGATCACCTGTGGCAATGATAAGATAACGGTTAGTTGATGATAGGGATTTCAAAGTAATCAAACTCACGGATCTTGCAAGCCAAGCTTTGTGCCTGCTCTCGTACTTAATATTCCACCTAATGCCATAGCCAGCGATGAGTGAGCCAGTGAACTCCTGCTTTGCACTGACTCGCTCGAACTCCTTACGCCAGGCAGCTGACCGAGTGATTCGTCGTACAATAAAGTCGACCTGAAAGAGAAAGGTCCCCACAGTGGATGTGCAAGGTAAGCACAATGAAAAAGAAATACATAGAATTGATCATTGTGTATCATACCTTTCGCAATACAAAGTCCACCTGATTTGCTTCGCGGCGATGAGTTGGTAAAACTTCGTTCTCCAGGACAACCGCGGGTGTGACCTCGTCCTCGGCATCGGCAAGGTCCCATTCATTCTCATCTTCAAGAGGGACCTCGCCAGATGCGGGTGGTGTGATCAATTCAGGGAGATCATCGACATCATGTACAGGTAGCGCGTCATTGGTGTCACCTTCGTCTTCTTCCTCGATCGTTCCAATGGTTGGAAAGTGACCTCTAGCTGCCGACTTGACTTTGGCGGGAGGTGGAGCCTTCACCCCCAGTTCGGCTAGACCGGCGTTGACGATTAAAGCCAACTTGTGACAGAAGCAAAAGATATGCATGGTACTTGGTTCCCATGCATACTTTATACCATCTTTCACTGGCTTCAAGGCGAACTGACGGTGCATCTCTTCGGCCATTGTCTTGTTGTTCGATCCGGAATCTGTGGTTTGGCAGAGAATGTGAGACACAGGAAATTGAATTCAGTGTTAGTATTTTTGATTTATGAGAATAGGTGAAAATATAAACTTATCTTGGGAAAAATATCGTGCTTCACCATCAAATTCACAATAGGTTCTGCTAGCCAAGGACCATGATGGTGCCAACCTACGACTTTGAGGGTAAGATGTCGGACATGATATTTCCACTGGGCATCAACATAGGTTACTGATGCCCCAATGAAACCGTGGTGATTTCCCTTGCTAGTCCAGCCATCATGGACCAGGTTGAAGCGTGAGGTAAGTTGCTGGAAGATGATACAAATGTCAGTATTTGATAATGGGATATACAATTGTCAATAGTAAACAGTAAACAAGAAATCTTACCTTAAGTTCTTTGAAAACATTGGCTTTCAAAGAGCTGTTGATCGTCTTTGCTTCTGTAGCTGCCCATTTACGGCCATACAGTTTGGCCTCACGTCTGAGGTAACCTACCATGGCCTTTAGGATGGGGTCCTCGACTCGTGTCCAAGGGAGAGCATGTCGGATCAGCCAGGTACAAGCCATCTGGTTGAATACGAGGTTGTTGAATTTATTTCCGGGGGTGGTAATAACAAATCCATCTAATGTCGTCCCGTCCTTGTTGATCTCAGCCATGCGACGTTCTGCAACGGAAAGAGGAACAGCCAGACTTGGATCCTGCTTTGCCTTGTCTCGGCCGACACAGCCAGTACTGGATCGTCCGGTTTGAGTCGATCCGTCACAATGGACCCGAAGAGCATGAGTCATATTACTATAACTGACTCGAACCGGGTCTTTCTTGTCTTTGTGGCAGAAACGACAGGCATAAGAGAGGGGTGGCTTCGACCGATCCTATTGTACCCAAGGTATCGGATTGACCAATCAGAAAATGAAACAATATGAAAGGAACTGTAAAACAGGAGTCAGAAAGAACTTACATCGTCGATTTCATGCGTTGGAGGATGGTAGTATCCACGCAATTGGTCTAGATCATTATTTACCTTCTTGCGCGGTGCTCTCACAATCACCCCAGTGCACTCGACGTCAGAATCGGCGCGTAGCATGGTCTTAGTGACGTTTGAAGAGATGTGCTGGAAGATATCAAGTCAGTTAAGTCAGTGCTATTGTTGCTGATCAGTAACTGCAAGGAAAGAAACCTCACCTCTTCGAAATCTGCCAGGTTCTTTGCCTTGGCCTTGGGAGTTTTCTTCGACTGAGAGGACTTCTTCTTCTGTCTGTTGGTCTGAACAATAACCGGGCGGTCGGAATCGGATTCAACCATCGGCTGGTGCTTCTTTCGGGCAGGTGGTTGAGTAACAGCCGATTCATCTGAATCATCTTCGGTTTCTTCCGTGCTGGGGGCTTTGCGCTTGGATCTGGATTTGACAGGTGGTTCAAGGTCGACGCTCACACGTCGACGAGAGTCAGGTGAAGGTTGAATCATTCCAGGATGATGAACCGGCTGTCTGGTTCGAGTTGAACTTGAGCGGCCAGGTGTCTGTGAGCCAACGGACGACATGTATGTGGTAGAGAGACGGTGATGGGGAGAATACTGTGGTAAGGAGCTAGTGATAGTGTATATCTAATAGTAAGAGTATCAGAAGAGAAAATCAAAAAGATATTAGATCGGATCAAAAGGACGAGATTAAAGGAAGAAGAATGGATGGAAAAAAGAGAGGAATTTGGTGGGGAAACTCACCCTGTCTTTATAAATTTCCTTCCAGTCGTTCCCAGCGTGGGTCCTGTCTCGAAAAAACCAATGCATCACGACTTGCTACTTTGATTTAGGGGATGATTGGTGTGACGATGGATGAATCTAGCGTGAAAGGAGGGGAATTGATTGCCTAATTGGGCATAGCTCGAAAAGAAAGATCCGGCCCGCAACAGCCGCACCCTGCGGGTCTTGACCGCAACGCATCATGAATTGTTGCGGTCTAAAAAAAATGCAAAACTGACGAGACCTGTCGCGCCGCGGGTCGGACCGCAGCAGAATGGCTAGAGCTGTGGTGCGGTGCTGGCCGTCAAAACCGCAACGCACCAGCAGCGCAGCACGCAACACGTGCGCTGCTGGCCCAGGGTTGTTGCTGACCATGATTGGATTTACTGCCGTAGGAATCCTTCCCACCTGGGCCACATCAGCGGAGGTTGTGTGGTCTTTGTATAGCACACTATTAGAACGTGCATGCCGACTCTGGGTGAAGTGGAATGCTAAGATTTGTTTACTGATAAGCTCCACCCAGCCACCAATTGGATTTGATCAGGATAGTGATGCTGCACTTTGTCAGAGAT